CTATCTACAGATTAATCAACCGTTAAAAATCATTGTTAATTGCAGCCTTGACATTATGTTTTGAACAATACCATTTAGCTTTAAAAACTAAAATAAAATCACCCAAGTATACTTGAAGTAATATTACCTTGCTTTCAATTTTAATACTGTCTATTGCTTGCAATTTCTATAGGAAATCTAAAGCTAATTTCCATATGCCTCTCTTGCAGCATGCTAATGACTTGCAGCATGCGGCAGTAACACAAACATATATTGTCCTCTGAGCTCCCGGTCTACATACTCATCAGAGAAACTGGCGCCGTTGCCCCTCAGCAATCTCCAACCTCTTTCAAAAACTAGTCCAGCAGAGTGAATGCATTGCTCACAGGGCAGTGGATGATTTTAGAGATCAAAACACACCTTGGGAAATCTGCAGAAAAACACCTCTGCATGCATATAACCTCCACTCACACTGCAAACAGATCAATGCCATTGGTCAAATTATACCTGATAAAACCACACATCACTTACTTTACCCTGGATAAATAGCAAGAAAAATATACACCAGGAGGCTCATCCAAAGATATGCACCTAAATTATGCCGATTATTTGCATGGAAAAATATCTCACCTGAAGAAAAACTTCTTCAACTGTGGAGCCAGGTCTTTTTCTCCTATCAAGTCAAACAGAAGGCTTTAACTGCCTTCTCAAGTGACAGCTTATTGTGTTGCGGGCAGCACTCTTTGTTGTGACATGTCTGACACTGTTCTCAAAGTTGAATTACACATTTGTCACTTATTCAACAGGAGTGACTCCACGCACTGCATGATACAGAGAAAGGCTGCTCAGTAAATTGGTTACCACTGTGAAATAATGTTATGAAAATGAAACCATGACAGCAAATGGGAAAAATAACACAGATGAGGAAGAAAATAGCATGTGAATGCATCAATTTAATCATTTCAAAGCTGGCTTTTAGCCAGCTATGCGTACAGCTAGTACATTGTACAGCGTATACTAAAAAAATGACAAATTGTACGCCCCGTTTTTCCCCTGAAAACTTTGCTCAAGTGTTAAAATTTTCACAAGCAGGAGATGCCGGAGCTGGAAAAATTTTACTTTTCTTGCACAAAGCGCCACATCAACCAATCAGAGAAGCTGGCAGAGAGACGGACACAGCACTGCTAATACAGATCACTATGACCACTCACCTGAAACAGTTTATTAACGCCTAAATTAACTTAAAATGTTAAAAACCTGCTGGAAAATGTGTTAGCTTTTGTTATTAGTTTTTCAGAGACTCTACATTTCAAAATTTTCCATGGGAAAATACCCCGGACCCACCTACACCTAAAGATGTGATACACCAAGGTGTATACCCTAGGAAATGTTCCTAGCTAAAAGCCTACTTCAAACCACAGCTTTTTGTTGCTGTCCTGAGTCAAAATATAGCAACGGTAAGATTAACATGAGTTCAGAATTTAAAAAAAACTAGAATATGTTACAATATTTTAATAGTTTTGTTATTAATTTATGAGCATAGCCTTGTGTATTATATAGATAGCTTTATATATAAAGTTAGATTTCTCAATCTTTTATTTGTTCTGGTTTCAATATTTACTGCTGATGAAGACCTTAAATTCAAATCCTGAAATGTTTTATATAATACAAGATACAATATTAAATACAAACAAGTTCTAAGCTATTGAGTGGAAGGAAAAGTGTGAAGTTAGTAAATTAAAAACCATTATTCGCAGGTGATGGTCTACAAATATCGCATTCCTTGTGTCAAGCAATACATAAATGTAAAACCCATCAGCAGTGTCTTTAAGACTAAAGAAAAAAAGAACTGAACGGTCAGGCAGGAGTCCAAAAATCCCCTTTTAAGATGAAAGTACAGTTTTGTTTTATTATAAAATCAAAGTGCTGTAGTCTCATAGAGGAGTAGAAAGAAACACATTCCACCCTACTTGAAGTTTAGTGTTGGATCAAGTGTCCCTGATGTAACCGGAACTACTCCCCTCTGAAGACACACCCCTCTGGCGGAGGTTTTTAAAGACGTAAGTTCTTGTTCAACTTCCTATTTTGCCGGTAGTCACCTTGACTGCCAAAGGCTAGATGCTAAAGCGCTTACAGCTGAAGGCTACGTTAAGAAGTGACCAAATCCCTCCAGAGAAGTCTGCGCTCGCTGGACTGAGTCAGACTGTTTTTTTCTGCGATTCAAAAGGAGGTGAACGCAGTGTTTTCATTCTTCCTGCAATTCAAACAAAGTTGAACGCAGTGTTTCCTGAATCCTGCTGCACCAGAGACAGAGAAGAGCTAATCCAGCTCTGCTAACCAGAATCTAACCTCCAAACAACAGGGTCGCTGTTCGCCGAAGGAGCCGTTAGAAGCCGCCAGACTCGTGACTGCCTGCGACGGAGAGACAGAGTAGCGCCAAGAAACTCCTGTTAGAGTCTGCGGCTACAAACTAACTCCAGTAGCAAAGAGGGAGATGCCTCGACTACCATGAGTTATAAAATTAATCCCCTTGCAAAATCGCCTTTTATTTTTGCATCGGATTGATCCAAATCTCTTTGAGCTGCTGTTGGATGAATGGACTGGACTGGCCTGGACTGAAGACGGGTCCTGCAGAAAACCGGACTGTGCTGAAGGCCTTCACCTCACCGAACCAAAACAGTAACATCATCCTTCCCCCTCCTTTCCATCTGATGCTTAATAAGTGCTCTGCTTCGGTGAACTAGGTAGAATAGATAGTTGCGTTGGTGTTTTATTTGAAATAATTTAGGAGTTTTAACTGAATGCTAATGCTCACTGCATAGACTGAATGAAGCAAACTGCTGCAGTGAACTGGCTAGCATTGTAGCTCCAGCTACCTCATGCTTTTCTTTCTTTATTTCAGCCTCATTGCTGATTAAAGCTTTCCTGCGTCATTATTCATTCCTCCCCATAAAACTGAATGAAACTTCACTTTTGTGACTGCAGTTAACATCTCTGCGTCAGGGTTTATTCACATTTTATCTGCTGCTAATTTTAGAGGACACTTTTAATGCATTAAGCCTTAAACTTCGAACATCCCTCAGACTTTAAACTGTCTTTTAAACCCCTCTTCCCCTTTTATTTCTTTATTTTTGATTATTTTCAGTGGTGTTATGTGTCTGTTTAGTTATTAGGTTTAATACTGTGTGATTGTGGCTAATAAAGGTACCATTATATTTTAACTTGCAGTCTTTAGTGTTCATTTTACAAAGTTAATTATTTATTACTCAGGCTGGATTAACAATTCTTTCAGTAGAGACACATTTATTTGGTTGCTGGTTAATAACGTTGCTGATAGCCATAGTCTAAATTACTAAATTGGCAAAAGACAACTGGATTTTTAACAGCCGGATTAAGGAGTGCCACCCTTTAGGTAAGAGGCTAAAAACCCTGGTCAGTAAGCAAATTATAGTTATAATCATTCAACTGATAATAATCAACTAGTTTACCCTTGACTTCCTATAACTTCCAGTTCTACTTATTCAATATATTCATAATTTTCTGGTAAACTGTGAAGTTCCCAGTCTGAGATGATTTGGAGAGCCATATCATCTGCTGTTTTTTTTCTGAATTCAGCAGTCAACAGAAACATATACCATCAAAAATAAGAAATAATTTAATGCTCCCTTCTGCTGGAAAGCTTTATGGAGATGCTGATTTCATTTTCTATCAGGACTTGTTACCTGCCCATAGAGGTACCAGTAGCTGGTTTATACTGTTCTCCCTGCTGCCCACTGGGAAGAGGCTTTGCAGAATTCGATACAGGACCAGCAGGTTCTGTACCAGATTTGTCACTGCTGCCAACACTGTTTAACTATTGAAAAACTCAAATCAAGTCTCAAATTGAGACACTGCATCACACTGACAACATCATACTTGCACAACATGGTGAATCTTTGAAAATGGAACTCAACTCAGTATTTCTACTGCATTTCTATGGTGCATTTTGCACCATATGTATTTATTTATTTTTGCACTGCTATGAACCTTCCACAGCAATGTCTTTTGCACCATGCCTCTCCTACACTGTTTACATTCTGATCAATGCTGTACTTTATAAATGGAAATGTTCATTTCACTGCTAAGCTGCTGCTCATTCACTGTCAGAAAGCTGTATCTAACTTTTTTTTTTGCATACAAAACTCTGTGTATAAAAAATGACAATAAAGTCTATTGACCACAGTGTCCTTTGCACGATTGACCAGCAAACTCAGGCTTATATGGGGTATTTTAGGAGGATGAGAGACACCAGAACAATCAATGTAGATGACCCAAAGGCCACTACAGAAGTTACCTGAACTTCTATCAAACCCAGCATAGCAGAATGAATAAACCACAGCTGGATTCTGTTTAATAACTAACATCTGTTATGTTAGTTAAGCCAAGATTAAAACAATGCATCAGTTTACTCCACTTTAGAATTAGGTGCTCCTTTATGTTTGTCTGGCACATAGTATCCCAATAAAACACCCTTACAATAAAATACAAGTTTGCTATTGGACTATGAAATATTTCTGTTCGATTAACTTTGAGCCCTTCATTATACAATACATTTAATATTACATTTTATGCTTGGCAGTTTGGTGCCATTATTGGCAACAGGGCTGAGGAATATTTACTTTACACAATCCTCTCCGGAACAGAAGGTGATTATGGAGCTGATCTCTGTAAACCCATTAGGCCATGCACTGTAGTACATTTTGACAAACATAACAACGGGTACAGCTTTATAAAACACCTACTAAAATGTTATAAAAATAAAAATAAAGCACCCTGCACTGTATTTCCTGTGTCACTAAAGATCCTATTAGTTGCTGGGTGTGACATGATGTAGGCTACAGCAAAAAATGAGTATACCACATGGCAAGTGGATAAATAAACAATGATCACATCTCAAAAGAAATACATTGCCACAGTATTTTTAATAATGTTTTAAATGCAGGATGTGAATAAGACAGGAAAGGATGAGACTATCTGCTTACCTAAAATATGGGAGCAGTGAACCTGTGACCTGCTGCAGCCTCGCTGCCAGGCAACATGTTGAACATGATCAAAGGCGCAACAAATAAACCAGTAACTAATCTAGACTGGGAGCGGACAATGTCTGCAGATAATGCCTAAGCTGCAGTCCATTTTAGACCGGGATAGTCTGCAGACCAGTGAGCCTCAGCCGCTGTCGGTCCAGTCAGACCTCTCCTGGTACCTGTTTGGACTCCTGCATGTCATTTCTGAGCCAATGCAGTTGACGTAGCCGCAGTCACGCTGTTCGATAGGAAGGATTTTCTTATTCTTTCACTCGGGTGAATATCCACGGACCTATTCTGCGGCTGTTTATAAGCTAAAATGCTCCATAGGATCTAACCTCAGCTCTGCTCACATCGACCTGCATGCGTCCCGGTCCTCTTCTCTGATTGGCTGACAGAAATGCCAATCATGGGGACCTTCTGAAGTGGAGCCTCAGTGGCGTCTGGTGGCTGCTAATTGTACTGTTTTGTTTTTTTATTTTAATTTTTTTGTTGTTGTTTTTGTTTCTTTAATAATTGTATTCAATTCTGAATGACATTAACTAAGGAAAAACTGTTAAAATATAACTTAAGCCAAATTTTTAATCGGTGTTTATTTACATCTAAATTAATGAAAAAAAATATTCTATTGATCTTGGGGCTTGATTAACACACATGGGGAAATTTAAACAAACAGAGCTGTTTTTTGGGAAAACAGTCTGATAGTGAGGGGCTTTAAAGATAGAAAACCTTCCAGACATCCAAAGGCAAATATGACCTCATTTACTCTATTCCCTCTTAAAGGACATTTGAGTTCTAACTGATCTTTGGGTAGATCTGAAGAAGTCATTCACTCTCTCTGTGACTGTTGCACCTGCAGCGAGAAGCTTTTCCAAACTTGTTTTCCAAACAAGAACTACCTGAGATGTTCCAGGTAGTAGGAGAATGATGCAGCCCGCTTTACTGTAAGTGATTTGTATTATCAGCAAAGCTGTCTGTCAAATTTTTATAACTGATTTTTCAAACCAAAAAGCTTAAGAGTTCTGTATTTTTAAAGTGATAGTTGAGTAATGAGAAAAAACAGTGTAACATAAAAATATCATATGTTTTTAGGGAAAATTGTTTGTTTTAAACAGAGCTTTTTCATGTTGTTACATATACTTGGATAGTTTTAAGGGCCTTCTAATTGAGCTTTAATTGTTTACATTTTCCATCTGGTTTCAGGTAACGTTTATTTCTATTATTTAAAAACATGCTTGATTTTTTATTGTTTACTTATTTGTAAATTGTAAATGATTTTTTTTTTTTTATTTAACTTGTTTTGTTCACTTTTTAAGATGTTTTTATCCATTATATTTTATTTATTGTTTTTGTATTACAGGTTTTCAATTCCACATGATACTAATACTGTATATAAAGTGCATAATTAGTTTATTACTTTGTCGACACAAGATGATGTACCAAAATATTAGAATATAAACAGCACAGCAAGAGATCAAGAGATGCAAGCAGTTTATAGAAGGTGTGTGAATGATCTGATCATTACACTGTTAACTGGAGCAGAAATAGAGGGCCCAAATATCAAGTTTTGATTAGGGCCCCATAGACCCCATACTTTGGCTGGTCCTGCCATAGGCGGCAAAATGTTCTGCAACCATTACTATAGGGGAACAGGGAAAATAATATAAAAACACAAAATAGGATTTTAAAAAAGCCAACACATTCTAAGCATTTGAACAAACATGATCCACCAGTCATAAAAATACATTTTAGTCATCATTACAAAGACAAGTTTCAGTTTCAAACAACAAGGTTCTGTTAGATTTGTGCAACTCTGGTAATAGTTTTTAATAGGGCTGCAGAATTAAGTGTATTTGTAATATTATTGCAATTTAGCAAAACACATTTGACAAATCACAGTGGCACATAATTGCATTCATATTACATTTAACAAGAATAACACACTTAATTTCTCCATCCAGCCCTTTAGTTGGCAGTAATGCTCATAAAGGTAGTGTGGAGGAAAAGACCCACCCTCTTCACTTAAAAAAAAAAATGCACATGTATAACCCTATAACCATGCCAGAGAGGAAATGTTGTGTGCAAGAACATGCACAAGCCCATTTCTCCTCGTGCACGCTCTGTTTAAAAGTTGTTGTTTGCATCGCTCATACAAGCTCACTTTCCAAAAGATTAGAAAATGGGGACGAGCATGTAGGATGGCCTTACGTAGACATATCATCAGAATGATGGACAATTATGAGGACCACTTATTTTGATGATCCACCCGGAAAAAGAACATCCTCCACTATACCTTTTAAAGTAGGTTTGCCACCACACAGAAGGGAAGAGTGGCAACTAGCATGCAGATCCATGCATCTTGGTAGAATATACTGTAAGAACTTTTTTAAGGAAAGGGTTAAAGTAAAGTCCTGAAACAATGGACTCTGGAAAAACAAGTGATAAAAAAAAAAAGAAAACTTGTGCTTAGTGCAAAAAACATCTAATTATTAAATGAAAATAATCGCAATTTGGATTTTGGCAAACTAGTTAAGCCCTAGTTCTAATGTCCAACTGAAAATATTAAATATCTTCTGTGAACCTTTCTAGGAAAAGTCAGAATTTAAGGTTTGGTCTTACTCTGTCTCTGCTCTTAATTAAATTGGATGGGCTACTGAACGCATATTGATCAATGCTGCCATCTAGCGGGGAAAAGAGATTGTCTAGCTTTGTTTGGAACACGGCTCAAATTCAAGCAGGTAGTCAAAAACATTTAGTGAAAAATAATTTCTCAAATTGATTTTCTGTTATTTACAGGCACTACATCTAGGCTATGTTGAATAAGACTCTTATGACATTATTGTGACTGTGGCTATTTAATTAGGTTTAATTAGGTCTCATGCAAATTTAAATTGTTTGAAAATAGACAAACTTTGAAATATTCTTCATTTCTTTCTGTGCTAAGACTATTTATAAAACAAAAAGTCTGATATCATCTTGAGATTTGTTTTTACTACTTTGTTTGAGAACCATAATTGTTTTTGGATTTTTTTTAAATTAAGATGGATGAAAAAGAACAGATTTAAACTAAAGATAGATAAACTCCAAGAGATACATTTTGGAAATAATGTTAATATGTCATAGTCAATAAATTTTTTGGTTTTCTGTTTTTATTATTTCTATTTCATTCTTTTTAAGTTTCTGCTTAATGTAAAATCTATCCATCTCTACTGACACAAGAGCTGAAGGTAATTGATCAGAGTTATTTTGATATTTTACTTTTCTTCATGTAAAATCATCTTTCCTTGTTCAACAATTACATTTCTTTTTGGCAGGTATTATGTAGTATTCTGTACAGCAAAATATTTCAGCTTGATATAAAAATTCTGGATGGATTCTAGGACAATCTGCCAAAAGTACTTTGATGGGCAGATTTTATGATCTAAGATCCTTAGCAATTACTTTGAGCAAAGCTGTGCAGTATGTTCTGGTTGATTTGTTCTGTTTAGGTACATCACACTATAGTGAAAGCTGATACAATCAAAGTATAGAAATTCCTTTCTTATAAGTTGTTATAAGTTGCTTTAAAAACCCAATGAAAAAAGTCATACAGGAATATATTAAACAGCTGTGCTTGAAAGTTAACACACCCTTCCATTAAAAACAGAAACAAATCAGCTGCCAGTGAAATAAACTAAAACTGACAAAAGTAATAATAAATACAAATTAGAAAAGATAAAAAATAATTATATTGATATTTATTTACAAACATATTTATATATCAATGAATAAACAAGCTTGATGGATTTCTTGAAGTCAAATTTTGTTGAGCAACACTTCAAATCAGGTGTTTTCTGTAATGTTCAGGAAATGTTCAGGAAGATTCCTGCACATGTTAACAGGTATGCTGGTTCACTGTTCATCAGCAAGGTACTTTAAATTGTTTGGGTTAGTTTTGTTTTAAAAATGTTTTTTTAAATAAAAATTCAATATATCTTTACACAATTATGATTTACTATTTTTTTTAATTACCATAGTTTTTTTCAGATTTGCCTTATTTAAATTACTAGTGTGAATTTATCATCTTTCATGGGACAGTTTGTAAACTTTTCAGCACAACTGTAGTTTTGATCATTGCATCCATCAAGTTGTGGGAATCATTTAAGTCAGACTCAAGATGAAACACATGAATCTGCAACACTTTTTCCTCTAAAACAGCCCAAACACTTGAGGATTTACAATACAATCTGTCAAAAGCTGCTCATCCGATGTAATGTTTACTAATGCTAGCTGATCTGCTTAATCCTCGTGCCTCTTGTGATGTTATTGACTCAAATACACATGAAGTAGAGCTTTTTTTCTTCAGTGTGCTTTAAAATTGTGAGATCCTGCTGATGCCGCTGATGTTGTTCACAATACAAATCTTGTTTTTCCTTTGTCCATATGCCTCTTCAACATCTGCTGCAGACAAATTGTAAACTTATTTCCTACTTTAGTTCTGAAATACCTTCTACCAAAATTACCATTATATATTATTATTTAAGAGTTTTAATTTTCCAGGTAGCCCATGCCAGATTTGATTTTTGTAATTCTGTGCAACAAAAAATTTACATGTAAAAAAAAAAAAAAAAAACTAGGTGATTCAATCTGCCTTTTTCTTTTACTGCTTTGAACCCCAAACCTAATGTGCTTACTGAAAGCAACTGCAAAGTAACCCCTATTCTGATAAGAAACATTTAACACTGATAAAAGTGTAAAACTGTTCTAAGATTTTATATTTAAGCGGGAAGATTTTGATGAACACTTCTGGGTAGTTCCATAAGTTTATGGTCCCAAGGATGGGTAAATAGATGAATTCAATCCCAATACATAATTTAAGTGTCACAACTAAAGCAACCTTTGGTAAGGTTTGAACATTAACTTTATATTTTTAACCAAATGAATTAGATACATTATTTGGGTTCTTGCTAGATTTGCCTCCATTCAGACCAAAGCAATATATTTAGAGGCAACTTTTGCTTAGTGCAACTAGCAGTGGATTTTGTTATTTACATACTTTTTTATAAAGCGATGTCTCCCATCATCTTTTCCTTTAACATTTAAGTTCAGGTTTGAATAATGGGATTATCTACAATCAAACTAAAATACTATTATAGTAAGTATTTATTTTTTATCAGTATTTAATTATTTATTGTTACTAAATAGGAACCAACTCGACATTCCCTTCAGAAAGTGGTGTGCTGCTTATAAAGGTGCAATTTATTTGGTTTGATTTTTTTTCCAGAATAAGAAATAACTGATACAACACAGTGGTTTACTTCTGTAAACTAGAGCCTTATAATCTTTCAGATGACATATAAATTACAAAAA